AAAAGTTATCAATATAGGTTATATATTTGTCTTTCCCGTTTGCTTTCAAAATAAACAAACTGAAGTAGTGCTAGGCAGCGACTTACGCAGCGAACGAACAGAAACGAAAATGAAAGCGGTTCCAGCTGAAAAAATGGCCGCGTCTTAAGGAGAAACAACTTTGTCTGATGTTAAATAAATCAGGGTTAAAACCTTAATACAGAAATTCTTTTCCGGTAACAGACTTTTAGAACTATGTCATTTATGATTCATATTACTATGGGGTTGTAACAGCCTTTTCCGTATCCCCAACACTGACTTCCAAACCAGATATTTTTGCCGAGTGTCAGTTACATACTTTGTATAACATGACATGTGTCACATGGCTAACTGCAGTTTCCCATAATTTTTCCCCCACCATTCTGCAACAAGGATACTATAGAATACACTTTTATTGTAACTTATTATGACACATTTGTTAACAACATGCCATTGGAGAAGGTACCATTCGCTGCTTGGTGAGGCTTTTCCATGACGGCACCCTGGTCCTGTGGGTTGGAGTCTCTGGGGTATGTCGGTGCACTGGCTGGCACTGGCATTTTTTTCTGAACAAGAAAATAAAAAGACCACCAGTCACATATCCAAAGTACACTGCACTTGCACTGTAAAAACAGGAAAGTTTGCAACAAAATTTCACCTTGGAAAATGTCACCCATTGATGCAATAATTTTAGAATGTCACCCACACTTAAATTAATGTAAAGAAGAAAGTATCTGAACAATAATCCATAAATACTAGGAAATTTTTAAAGGGCCATTTTTTTTTTTTTTACTTTTTACAAGAACATGGTTTTTCGTTGTTTTGCTCTAAATTGGACCAAAGGTAATTTCCATTTATGGCTCTTATTGATCAGAAACTATGCCACTTTGGTCAGGATTGTTCAGTTCTTTAGTAACGCATTGGGCTCCATTTGGACGATCTAATGCGATGCGTAAAGCACAAAGCAGAACTAACAGTTATGGGTGTGTCCAAATCCATTTTACTATTATGAGAGTGGAAAAAACAGACTTTGTGCCAGGACAAGGCAGGAAAAGGGTTATCCTAACTCAGAGGTGTGTTTTGGGTGTAGCATGCAATGAGCCAATCTCTAAGAAGCACTGCATGATCTACTGCGGAATGCAATTAGAATGGCATGATTGCCCGGCAAACAAGATTTCTTTTCAGCTGGGGAAATGGACGTGCTCATGTGCGAGATGATGAGACGTGAGCACATCATCTACAGAAGCCGCACTGTTCCACCAAGCCTTTCGAATGAAGCAGGCGTGGGATGAGGTAGCAGCGACCGCGTCCATGTTTTCTGGCATCACCAGATCATGCACGCAGTGCCGAAAGCAGAATAATGATGACAGAAGATGGGGAAAGCGGAAGCTCGCTGCTGAACGAGAACAGCAGCTGGGAACGGGGACTTGATTTCGGGTCTGTAGTTTGCAAAATATAAATAAAAGTACAATCTTTCTTCAAACAAAACAAATCAATCATCAATTATGTAAAGGTTATAAAAGCACAGGCAGCTGATCATTTCCTCTCCCAGTGTCTCTTCATAAACAATATTGATTCATAGCTGTGGTTTTCAAAACAGCACCTGAATGAACCACAATGAACTTGGAATAACATCCTCCAGGCAGATCAAACCAAAATGGATTTCCTTTGCCGTCGAGGATAATCAGCACACTTGGTAAAACCCAAACACTGCATATCATAACAAGAACCTCACACCAACTATTAGCTACACTACTGCACACAAAGGATTTGTGCTTCCTTCTGATTCAAAGTTCCACTGATATTGCAAAAACTGTATTAAACATTACATCATGCAAGAAAGAAAGAACATAAAGTTAAAAACGAAATATTTAGCCATCTCTTCATCTGTAATTTTTTGGTTTGTAAATCTAACAGATTAAAATAAATAATCTTTCCTATGTTGTACATTATAATAATCTATAACAAACCTATAATAAATTGGGGCTATAGTGTTCAGGTTACATTATGCCCTTATTAATGAATTCATGTCATATTAGCCATATAATCCACACC